TAAAAAAAAAAAAAAAGATCAAAAGAATTGGGAAGTCAGCACAGAGCCTAAATCCTAGGAGGTCTAATTCTATGCTGCTGGTGACATCCCTAATAAGTAGGCCACAGAAAACAGTGTTGCTTTCCAGTGTCCCTCCCCAGACCATAGGACCATTACACACTAAATTCTAATTTCTCAGGTTGGGGAGATGGCTCAGCAGCATAAACACCTGCCTGGAAGCGCAAGGTCATGAGTTCGATCCTCTGTACAAAAAAAAAAAAAAAAAAGTTCTAGTTTCTCTTAAGACTAAATAGGCCTATCATCCAGGACTTACCTAAACTCATTTGAAGCTGTGTGAATATCCTCCTCTTTAGATAAGTTTCATAAGTTTACTACAGCCAATAAATAGTGCTAAAAATTGACTTAGTGTGACCAATGTCAAGCTTAAGTCATTTACCTTTACCCTAACTTTTTTTTTTTTCTTTTTTTGGTGGGGGGCAGAACCAGGGATTGAACTCAGGCCCTTGCACTTGCCAGGCAGGCGTTTATTCCACTGAGCCATCCCCCCCAGCCTATCCTAACTTTCAGTAAATGTTTATTTTGTCTTTCTGGCCAGGGAGAAGTATATACCAGCTATTCTTTGGTCTCAACTCATAGGCCTCAAGGAGAAATACTCAGGTAAATATGATATAATATCAAGAGGCAACTGACTCCTTGGGAATTTGTATTAAGTTTCAGGGCAAGGTGACACAGTGTCAGCTCTAGAGGAGGTGTCACTTTATAGGCAGAAACCTGGAGGAGGTTTAGGCCCGAGAGGGATGTTCATGGCAAGAGGTCTGTGTCTTTGGGACACTGAGTAGCAAGTGTGGCTGAAGCAGGAAGTGGGGAGAGTGAGGCAGGATGGCTGGGAGAGGCTGGACCTAAACTGTGAGGAGATCTATGTGTCTGCGTGCTAAGGGACTGTGCGCATCCCAGTCAGCAACACTTTTTAACTATGGAAGTAACACGGATGATTTTGAATGTTAGAGTAAACTCTTGGGATAATGTAGAGGATGGCTGGAGAGAAAAAAATAAACAGCGACTCCAGAGTTTTGATCTAAGAGTTTGAAGTGAGGAACTCCCAGGTCATATCCTAAATTATTTTTTTTATTAATTTATTTATTCAATGGAGGGTCTCATGTCTTAGCCTCCCCAGCAGGTCTGGCATGGCATGTGGTACCAGGGATTGAACTTGGGTCCTTGTGCTCGCCAGTCAGGCACTTAGATCACTGAGCTATCTCCCCAGCTCCATATCCTAAATTGATTTAACATGTTTTTGCATTCTCCAGAACTACTTTTCCCTCTCTTTCTCTTCAACTAATTTTCTTAACTTGTCTACATGCAGCACTGTCTGTAAGTCTTCTCTTGCATTATTTAAGCTCTTTGGGATAGCATTTAATATGGTGGTCTGTCACATACAACTTTAGGTGTACTTTCTGATTAATTTTTGACTCCCTTCCTCTCTCCTCCCTCCCTCCGTCTCCCCTTCTTTCCTTCCTTTCTTCCTTCCTGAGGTGAGGTCTTGTGTTGACAAGGCTGCTCTTGAATTCATGAGCTCAAGCAATCCTCCTGCTTCAGCTTCTCAAGCAGCTGAGACAACATTTGTGAACCATCACACCCAACATTTTCTTTTTTGGGGGGGAGGGCTGGCTCAGCCCACCCTAAGGGCAGATCTGGCGCAACATGTGGTGCCTGGGATAGAACTGTGGTCCCCTGCGTCTGCCTAAGCTTGCCTAAGCAGGAGCTTTAGACCGCTGAGCTATCTCACTGGCCCGTGGCTTTTTTTTGTTTGCTTAATGAGTTTGTTTATGAACTGGTTGCTATGAGGCAACCATAAATTCTATGGGTTGGATGATCTTTGTTTCTTAGACTTTTATTTGAGAAGGGAGAGAATAATAGGCACTCATTGTATACCTGTCTCCTGCCAGATACTGTGCATGACCCTAGGAATTGAAAGATGAATGAAAACGGTCTTTGCCCACAAGAAAATCACAATCTGGAATAGCTCAGAATATAATAAAACATAGACACAATTGCTTATCAAAGTTCATACTCTAGGACAGAGAAAGATATAATGAAATTTCATGGAGTAGAAAAGAAGAATCAGAAAATCTTCCCACCATTCAAACTGTATGAAAAGGTAATTCTCAACTGTTTACATTATTTGAAAATATAAAATAAGCAGCTGCAACTCTTTAATTGCTTTTGAGCTCCAGTTCAATTTAAGCCATGTCCTCTTAACCATTTTCTTATACTGCCTTAGCTATTCTTTAGAGTCCAAAGTTTGTGAAAATGCTCTTTTTATTTGCAGATTTCCCCAAACTGTGTTCTGTGGAGTTGTGGCAGTTCTGAATGACTTCTACAGCAAGCATTTGTAATAGAAACATGCTAACCCCAGACAGTGACTTTATACTTAGTTCCTGTTTTGCTCTCGGGGAAGGTAAGTTTTTAAAGAAGAGCCTCACAGCTCGACATGAATTTCATGACCTGCATTTCTTAGTAGGCACTTTGCCGCTAGCATCTTTTCTGCTTGATGAGTTGATAAAAGCGTGTCCTAGTTTTCTTGAACCTGTTTTGTAGCAATAATTCAGCCTGCACTTACTCTTTTATTGTTTCCTTGAGGTTTAAAACTATTTAGTACATTCATGTTTGCTTTTCTGTGGCCTTCAATTATAGGGTGGATTTTCTTCCCTATCAGTCTCTTAACAGGTTCTCTGCAGAGCCAAAGATTTAAGATTTTTATGAATTTTCTGTTTACTAAATCAGAAACTAATCTGATAAATTAAAATATTCACATGTTCCCTGTCATGAGTATTTTTTGCATTGTTCTGAGTCTGATGTTTCCATTATTTACATCATAGCCCTGCACTGAACATGTCACTTTTTTTTTTTCCCAAGCTGGAGACTGAAGCCAGGGTTTCAGTGGGCTGGGTAGGCACTAACCAGTCTACATCTGAGCTACATCCTTTGCCTTCATCTACTTTTAACTAGTTTCATATAAACTGCTTCTTTCTCTTCAGGATTATGGATTTTTCTTCTGATTTATTGGTTTGCCTGGCTACTTGTGCTGATAAATTTTTATTTTTATTTTTTATGTATTTTAGTACAGGGTCTTACAGGGTCTCAGATGGGATCCTCCTGTTTTCAGCTTCCCAAGCTCTGGGATTGCAGGCGAGCACCACCATGCGGTCTCACTCACCATCTCAGTGAGCCCTGGGGGCGGGGCCAACAAGGCAAGCCACGCTGGGGATCGAACCCCAGTCCCTGCACCTGCCTAAGCAGGCACTTCAGTCTGCTGAGCTATCTGGCTGGCCCTTTGGTACTGCTAAATTTTTAGAAATGTAAAATGATGATTTAGTAATCTGAAAATCCTTTTAAATTGTAAGCTGACATTTTTTCTGTCATTAACCTTCACATAGGATCACATAAATACGCTTGATTTTAAGAACTTCTGAGTATTTGCCTTTTTCTTAAGACTGATGTTTATGTTTTACTGAAAAATTTCCTCCACAACCAGTCTGTTGCCAGAATCTGCTATTATGTAATCTGTGACCAGAGAAAAATCTAAAAGTAGTGTTTCTTTTTGAGAGAAACAAACACATCTGGGAAATCATCACATCTTCCTGAAAATATTTTAAAGACTTGTGTGCCACTCATTGGCTTGTTTTTTTCAGGTTGTAGTACAGGCCCATGACAGAAAACCCTAAGAATGTAGAAAAATGTAAAGCAAAACACAGTGAGTGAGAAAGCCACCTGTTATTTCTGCGAAACCACATCTTCCTGAAGCTTTCGGCTAGAGCTTCCTACCCAGTCCTAGGTCCTCCCCGTCTATAGGTTGTCCAGACATTAGAGTAAAAGACTAAATACAATGGTCCTTAGGGTTTTTTTATGGATGGGATAGAACTGTAGGAAAAACCTACAAATTGGTCCAAAGATGACATCTTGTTCTTATTTAGCTTTCTTTGAGTCATTAACAGTCAGGCGCCACTGGTGCTGAAACTTATCATTATTATAACCACAAATGGGTTAATGCCTGAACAAAGCTATATTCTTGGGGCAGGTTCCCAGCCTCACCACACCGACCCCAGTAGCAGTACCCTCGGAGTCCCAGGATAATGCTTGGCAAATAAGATGATGGCAAATGTGCACCCTGCACTCAAAATTCTCCCCCTTTTTATCTGGCAGATTCCAGCAAAATGAAAAATAAATAAGTAAACACCAAGCCAACAACCCCTAAAAAAAGAGGCTATGTGGTTTAGTGGTCAGGCCACTAATCTGGATGTTGGGATGGCTGAGATATAGTTCCAGCTCTCCCACTGACTGGATGGAGGCATCATACCAGACAAGTTGTTTTTGTGGCCCAGACCTCAGTTTCCCTACTCAGAAAATGGAGAAGTGCCTTTGACAGGTTTCATGAGGACATATGAAATTTATCTCCAAATAGCTTCAGTATGTTTGGGAATAAAGTGATCTTTAATAATTACTCTCCTAAAGCCAGCATTGTGGCCCACGCCTGTAATCACAGCACTCAGGAGGCTGAGGCAGGAGATTGAATGCCTGGGCAGCATTAGGAGTTTAAGGCCAGCCTAAACTATGTAGTGAGACCCTGTCTCAAAAAACAAACGTAAACACTTACTATCCTCTTACCTAAATAGAATAAGTCACAGAATGACACTTACAGAGCTCCTGTACCCTCAAGTAGCAAGGGGAGAGAGGGAAGGTAGGGTAGAAGGCAGTATTTTTTTAGTCAGATTTGCAGGTCTTCATATCCACTTCCAAATTAGTAAAATCATTACCTCAAAATACTCAACACTGCTCCTCCTTGGGCTTTGTCCTTCATTCCTCACCACATCCAAACTCAAGAGTGACTCACAGGAGCCTAGAATTGAGACACATATACAATTTTAAGGGAAAGGGAGAATTAGGAGGTTTGAGGCTCTTTGCTGGAGGAGGCTAAGAATAGATCACTTACAACACAAAGAAAAGAACCTTCTCTTTCTCCTCCCAGTGTAGGTGGTCTCTTGGTTTCCCAGTTGCTCCTTTGATGGCACAATTTTGGTGTTTTTGGTTTGGGTTTTTTTTTTTTTTTTATTCTTTTTCTCAAAGCCTCACCATGTTGGAGGGGGCGGGCGCTTACTAAAAATGAGAGGCCGAGTGCCTTGTTTCCTGCTAGGTTTTAACTCTGTCAATTGCTACAGATCCCTGAGAGAAGCACAAGGAGAGACATCTGGGAAGCTGGAAAGCAGAGAGGGCTCTGTCCCCTAGAAGACAGCAGCTGTTTGGCATGTGGGAGAACATTTAGTAGGTGTCTGATCTCTGCACTCTTCTTCTCCAGAAGCGGGGGAGGGGGAAGGAAAGACACTTGGGAAAGAGGTCAGATAGTAAGGGCATAGGAGGATATCCGGTCTGAGATGAAAAGGAATTTGAGAGGAAATGACAATTAACTCACAGAAGACTTAATGAGCACTTTTGGGATGTCCAGCCCTGTTACAGGCTAAAAGGCACAAGAAGCAGTCAAAATATAATAATGCACGTGAAAGCGCTTTGTAGTAATTTGGGATAAAGAGATAAAAATAGGTTCTAGGATCTAGGTGAGGTCACGGATGGAAATATTGTAAATTAGGGTAAGAGCTATATAAAGCTGAAACAGCTATTAAATTCAGAAATTGTGGATATGGATGGCTGACAGTAATTCTTCGAAATCAGGAAATATGACATATTCAAAAAGGATTCACCACCTCAGATCCCTCTAAAACCACCTCCGCAAGTATGAGAGTTCCAAGAAGCCTAGACCTCCAAAGAGCGACGGCTCCCGGAACTTCCTTGGCTGGCTTCGCGTTGCAGCCCGGAAACTGTGTGCGGGACACCCCTCCGCCTGCACCTCGGCTCCGGCAGCCTGGGTGCCATGGCAACGGAGAGCGCTGGCAAGCTGGCTTCCGGAAGCCCGAGAACTACAGTCAGGAAGCTCCCGGGATCTAAGGATGCTGAGTCCCGAACGCCTAGCCCAACCCGACCACGAGTATCTGGGTAGGAGCTTCCTTTAACTCTGGGAAAGGGAAGAAGTGGAATTAATTAAACTGGGGCTTGGGGAGGAGGCGGGTCGAGTTCTGAGTGGGAACGGATCCGGGTGGGATGGGCAGGTTGCAGCGAGGCGGGGTTTGAGGGCCTGAGTTTGCGAGGTAAGGCCCAGTGGGAGGAAAATAGCATCTGGGAGCGAAGAAGTCGGAAGTGTGTGGGCACTGTGGGCTGTGGCCAAAGTGGGGCTGTTCGGATATGAGAGATTGGGACCCTTTGGGGATATTAATCAAGTGCTGCTAGTGGAATTAGTAGCCTCGGAACTTGAAGTGTCACATCAGCCATTCCACAAATAATCAGTTTACCATTATAGTGACAGCTAACATTTTGAGCTTTCCTTTTGTAATAAGCCTTGTGCTAAGCATTTTCCATGCAGAATTCTTTTAGTAAATCATTCCAACAGCCTTAGGAAGAATTCCTGCTTTCTTTCATTTTGCCTACTGAGGTAACTTTTGCCAGGCATGATAGTGCATGTGGGTTATCCCAGCACTCTCGAGATTGGGGCAGATTGTGGAGAGTTTGAGGCCAGCCTGAGTTCAAAGCCAGCCAGAACTGCGTAGTGAGACCCTGTCTCAAAAACAAAACAAAACACATGTACATAGGCACACATACGCACTTATAAAACATTCATAAGCTTAATTTTTGTTTTTATTTTATTTATTTTTTTCATTTTATGTATTTGGTACAGGGTCTCACTATGCAGCTCAGACTCTGTTTTAAGCCTCCTCAGCACTGGAATTACAGGCATGCGCCACCACACCCAGACTTGTTTGCCAGCTCAGTGTGTCCTGGGGGGTGGGGCTGGGGTGGCATGCGGGTCCCTGCACTTGTCAAAGCAGGCACTTAGTCTGCTGAGCTATCTTGCCAGCCCTAAGTTTAATTTTTGGAGGAGTGTTAAAAGCTTACAGAATATCAAGCGGATAGTACCGAGTGCCTTCATACCTATCTTCGCTCTCCCCAGTGAAGATTTTCCTGTTATTTCAATCTTGCATTAGTGTGGCACATTTTAAAAAATTGATCAGCTAATATCCATAAATTATGATTTATAATTTATAAACAAAAGGCTTTACATTAGGGTTCACTCTGTGTTGAACAAGTCTTATGTGTTTGGGCCATTGATAATACCATGTATTCACCAATATAAAATCAAATAGAATAGTTTCACTGTCCTAAAAGCTCCGTGTCCAGGCTGTTCGTGTGCACCTGTAATCCCAGCTGCTCTAGGGGCTGAGGCAGAAAGAGTCCAGGTTCTAGGACAGACTGGGAAGTTTGGCAAGACCCTGTTTCAAAATAAACTTGAAAAAAAAAGACTGGAAGTGTAGCTTACCAGTAGATCACTTGCCTCACATGTGCAAGGTCCTAGCTCCTTTACTGTTCATCACTCTCCCTCATCCCTAATCAATCCCTAATCTTACTGTCTCTAAATTTGCCTCTAGAATGTCCTGTGGTTGGGATTGTACAGTGTGTAAACTCTTCAGATAGACTTTTCACTTGACAGTAGACATATGAGACATTAAATATCTGTTGTTAATGTTTCATTTTTTTGTTTTGCTAGATAAGCCATTGTATAACTATATGGTACTCATTTTTTTAAAAAAAAAAAATGACCCAGGGTCTATAGGGTCTCACTATGTAGATTGGACTTATAAGGATCCTCCTGTTTTCAGCCTCCCAAGCACTGGGATAACAGGTGTGTGCCACCATGCCCAGTCTCAATCTCTATCTCAGCATGCCCTGGGGGTGGGGCCAGCACAGCATGCTGGGGATTGAACCCCGGGTCCCTGCATCTGTCTAAGCAGGCGTTTTAATCTGCTGCTGCTGAGCTATCTGGCCAGCCCTCCCGTACCCATTTTTAAATGAAAAACAATACTGATTAAACTTTGTGAATTGGCGTTATAGAGACTTGATTTGAAACTTTAAAAAATATTATAATAAAACATCACCTCTATGGTGCCAGGGAGATAGTTCAGCAGTTTAAGCACCTGAGCTATCAGGCAGAGTCCTGCGTTTGCTCCCCAATCCCAAAACAAACAAACAAACAATCCCCTGTTATCAGATAGTTCTTTCAGAAAGTGACTCATCAACTGAACATTACCGGGTTCTGGGTTGTTTGCCTCTTGCTGTGGAGTTAGATTTCAGGTTCTTCGTATGGCAAAGAATTGAACAAAATGAGGAAAAAGCAGTGGCCAAGTTTATTCAAGAATATAAAGGTGCGGAGTGAAGGAGAAACTGGCTTTGCAGAGTAAGCTTGGGCAGTTTAAAAGGAGAAAAAGCAGTGTGAAAGGACAGCTGGAAAGAGCAGAGTGAGCCACTGTGAAGAAACAACAGTGAGTGTGTTGTGGGTCTGCATCTTTATGTTGTCCAGGTCTCGAGGAGACTTCCCGAGAGGCAGTGCTGGGATCCCACACCTCCGCTGACGTCAGGTCTGGTCCATCCTACTGAAAACCAGCCGGCGTTCTGGAGAGAAGTCCAGTGACAGGGCTCAGGGAGCTGTTCGCCTGTGTGTTCTGGGATCTTGTAATGAACAGGTTGTGCATACATGCCCAGCCAGCTTAGTCTGACCCTCATTTTCCATCTTGTTCCTATTTCTTTCCTCAGGTCTGCTGTGTTCCCAGTTGTCTTTAATCCCCCAGAAGTAACTCCTCATTTTGGCCTCTATGTTTTTTTTTTTTTTTTTTTACACCGAATGCCTTCAAGGCATGACTGGCTGTCTTGTGTTGTGGGGATCGAACCACAGCAAGCTGAGCCTGACTGCTTTGTTGAAGCAGCCACTTAAAGAACTGAGCTAAGGGGCAGGCCCCCATTTTGGCCTCTATGTATCCTTCAGTTTTATAGGTACATAGTGAGAATATAGTGCATTCTTTTTTTTTTTTTTTTCCACCTCCCTGTGAATGGGGATTGAGCTCAGAGTCTTTGCACTTAACTACATCTCCAATACTTTCTAAAATGTTTTATTTTGCGGTGGAGTCTGGTAAAGTCACTAGATTGTCCAGATTGGGCTCAAACTTGAGATTCTCTTTCCTCAGCCTCCCAGTGAGCTGGGCTTGTTGGGTGTGCAACACCATGCCAAGCTATATGCATGCTTTTTAAATTTAATATATCTCTAATTTCTGGTACAGGAGAACGTCCCCATTCTTTTAAAAAGGTATTTGTTGGGCTGAGAAAATAGCTTAGCAGTCTAAGAGCCTGCCTAGCAAGCTGAAGAACCTGTGTTCAATCCCCAGTACCACTTGCTGAGCCAGCCCTGGACACCAGGCATGCTGTGCTAGCCCCAAAACCAGGCGTGCTGGCGCATACCTGTAATCCCAGCACTGGGGAGGATCACTACGGTTCTGAGCTACATAGCGAGACCCTGTACCAAATAATAAATAAAAGATTAAAACAAATTTAAAGGGCCAGTGAGATAGCTCAGCAGTCTAAAGCACCTGCCTAGGCAAGCTTAGGCAAGGGCAGAGACCATGGTCGAGCCCCATTCCCCAGGGTGGGATGACCTGGCCACAAAAAAAAAAAAAAAAAAAAGTATTTGTAGCTGTACAGTATTTAAATAATTTATTTAACCAAGTCTATGTTGGTAGACATGAGTTGTTTTTAGCATTCTTTTGTTATTACTAAATATGCCTCGATAAATAGCCTGCAGTTTTGTTCTTTTACATGTGCATTTGCAAGGGTATGTTCCACAAAGTTAAGTTTGTGGGTGAAGGTTATATGCATGCAAAATATTGATAGATACCACTGAATTGTCCTTCATTGGGGTTGTACCACTTTATACTGCCACCAACAATGTAAAAGAATGTGTTTCCCCACAATGTTGCTAACAAAATAAATCACCCTTTTGGACTTCGTTTAATCTATAAAATGAGAGTCTCAAAGTAGGTTTAATGGGTATTTCTTTTATGAGTTGGACGTTTTTCTACCAAGCTGAAGGGCTCCTGTGTCTTTGAGAGAGACATGCGCATACATAGACACATGTAGGGAGGTGGGGGGAACAGCTATGAGAGTGACTGCATCTGCTAGCCAGCCAAAAGGAGAGGGTTACATTGTAAATAATTGTGTGTCCAATGCATAGCAATATCAGTGTCTAGCAGTACTTAGGCCTTTCCTGAAGATTTTCATGTTTGTTTTGTTTGTTTCTTGAGACAGGCTCTTACCCTGTAGCTCAGGCTGGCCTTAACCCCCTGGCACTCTCTTCCTCAGCCTCCTGAACACTGGGATCGCACAACACTGCACATGGCAAGATTTTTATGTATTTTATGCTGTACTCACTGAACTTCTAAAACATCTGTACATTGCCCAATTCCTTGGGTGTTTGCTGCTTGAATTATGGGTCTCAAAGCCTTGGCATATTTGCTATGCTGGTGCTTTGGTGAGTCGAAGTTGCCATTTCATCCTAGGTTGCTTAGCTAGAAGATTGAGTGGCAGTGTTCACAAAAAATTGGAGAACAGGGCTGGTGAGACGGCTCAGTGGTCTAAGGCACCTACTTGGAACAAGCTTAGCAGAGCACAAGGACCGTGGTTCAATCCCCCAGCACCACATGCCAGCCACCCCCGCCCCCTGGTGGGCTGAGCTGGCCACACACACACACACACACACACACACACACACACACACACACAATTGGAGAACAGAATAAAAAAGTGAAAGTTGCACATTATTTGATAAAGCCCCAGTGTTTATGGAGTCCAGCTCCTCATGTAATACTTGAATCCAGGGCAGACACAGGTGCTGTGTGTGTGTGTGTGTGTGTGTGTGTGCATTTGTTTGTTTTTGAGACAAGTTTCACTGCAGTGAAACATTGCTCAGGGTAGCCACAAACGCGAGGCAGTCCTCCTGCCTCAGCCTCCTGAGTGCTGGGACGGTAATCCCGCCACGCTTGGTCTCTGTTGCACATTTACACGCCATAATCACTTTCTGGACTCCCATACTGCCCTACGTAGAGTCACATATTCTCTGG